AGAAGCAGGGTAGAGCGGCTATTCGACCATTTAAGCGTTGTACCTCCTTGATGTTCCTTGGAGGCACAATGTCTCTTAGTGCCTTGATTTTTTCTAGATTTGCCTCAATTCCGCGATGAGTAACCATGAATCCCAAAAACTTTTTCGACTTGATCCCGAAAACACATTTAGTCGGGTTTCGTCGTATATCATACCGACGAAGAAGTTAGAAACACTCATTCAGATGAGAAATATGCTGGGATGTTGCACAAGCGTTTTTTAATCCGGATAACATAACCTGATAGCAATATAAACTCTTGTTTGTTTGAAAAGAGGTGGATATCTTGTCTATTAGGTTTATCTTTATGTGATTATAGGCTGAGTATGCATCTATAAAACTAAGCATCTGGTGTTCGGACGTGACATTGACGAGTTGATCTATGCGCGGGAGGGGAAAACTATTTTTTGGACAAGCTTTATTGAGGTCGGTATAGTCAATGTACATTCTCCATGAACCACTTATTTTTTTACCATTACTACATTGGTCAGCCATGCGTGGTGATGCACTTTTCGTATGAACTTAGTTTCCAAAATCTTGTTCGATAACTTGTAAGCGATCTGGGGCGAATTTGTGCTTTATCTGGATGACCGGTTTAAAGGTTGGATCTATCTTTAAAGAGTGCATGATTATTCCAAGTTCGACTACAAACATGTCAGCCGCGGTCCATACAAAAATATCTTGGTTCCTTTGAAGAGGATTAATATATTACAACCTTTGCTCATAAGAGAGCAGAAGACTAAGCTTTACTGTTCTCGAGGGGTGTTCATTAGAGAACGGGATGTGGACCAAGTCAAAAATATCTTGTTCTATGTTTGGCCTTATTTTTTCAACCTTGCTTGACACTCAATTTTGATAAATCGGTCGTGGAAACCACAAAACCCCATGGTCAAAACAAAGAAGGCCAATTAAAAGTATGAGTCTATCTTGTTAAATAAGAAGGGCTCAATTTAAAAAAAATTGCCAACTCAAAAGGGTTATACACTCTATCTCAATGTGATACAAATAACAACTCTTGAACTTTTAATACCTTAAGCAGTTCCCTTAAACCTGGATGATATATTTAGAAACCCTAAACCCTAAATGATGAACATTTTAGCATTTTCAAATCTATAAATCTCGTCTCAACAATAGGAAAATAAAAGTAGTTGATGGCTCAAGAGTATTTATATTTCTTTTACATTCACTCTCAATGATATGCTACATGCTCCTAACATATTAATAAATTATATATATTTATAAACTCACCAAGGATCATAATTAAAGGTGACATTTTGTATCAATCATTGATTATTTCAGGATCTATGCGAAAGTCGATTAAAATAGTTAGACTAAATGATGAACAATACATATTTGAAGATGATAACCAATTATCCTGCTCTTTTATGTCTACTCTAAATCAGGATACTCTTTGGGATCATTATTATGGACTACGGTATCTCTTTAAAGCTCTAAAATGCATGGTTCATTCCCTTTTTGTAAATTTTTACATTGAAAACTTGTATTGTGAGATTTATGAAATTTTTAAATATCATATAGTTTTTTTTCTTGAAAGTGAATTTTGACCATTTACTTCTTTCATGATAATTCTCCTAATATTTGGAGACCTTCAAAAGCCTCAAATAATTTTGGAGCTGAAGAATTTTTCACATTCAATGATGATTATACTTTGATGACATGAATTTATCTTATCAAACAAAAACTGAATGTTATTCATATTCTTCCAATTTTTAATCTTTATGATAAAAAAATAATTTGGTTTTAATGTTATAAAAGTTAAGAATGATATTGCTTAGATTATTTTAATTTGACTAAAACTCAATTGGACGCAATGGAGAAAAAAGATTCATGTAGCCCACCCCACTTAGTGGGATAAAGGCTTGTTGTTGTTGTAAAAATCTTTTTTTCCGGTAAAGAATGTATTATTCACCAATATTCCTACTCTGACACCACATAATAGTAGGCGGCAGAAAGGAAAAATAGGTATTTTCTAGATTTTAGCGGGGCAACTCTTCCAATATCAAGCTCCCAATTATTTTAATTCGACTAAAAATTTTTTTTTTTTTTCCATAAAGAATGTGTTATTCACTAATATTATTACCTTGGCACTACACAATATTGGGTAACATAAAGGAAAAATAGGCATTTTCTAGATGTTACTAGGACACTTTTTCTAAAATTAAGCTCCGAAATATGATTGGGGAGAAATTATTCTAATCTCAACATATCTCATTAATAGAATACCCTCAAGGATGATTAATTTCAAAAGTTTCTTGTATTATATTGCTGATTTTTTTTATAGATATAATTGTGTTTTATCCACTTAAAAAGGGTATTAATGCTATTATTTGAACACTGAAAAAGTCTTCATTGTAAGAGAACGCACTTTGATGAAAAAACAAAGTTTATTCTGTCAAAGTTGCCTTCCAGAGGAGAACTTGCGAGAAATGTTTGATGAACTTAATAATTTAGCTCTTGACATTCCTATCATACAAATGCAAGAACGACATATTACTCCTACCACTAAACTTTTTTAGGTTTATAAAAGAAGGACAAAGCCTCCTATAAAGTCTCTTGTAAACTCAAGTTTCATAATCATTGTAGGTAACTCCCATACCAATGATCAATCTATTACCACAGATTTTCCACTATACCCCATAACCCAATAAACATTCTTTTAAAAATTTTCTTTTACATATTAAAATAGCATAAATTCTATTTGAGATATTAAGAAATAAGAACTGAAAGGATGCCGTGAGAAGAGATGAATGATTTTGAAAAAAAATCACACGCAAAAATTGCTGAGCTACGAAATGGGAAAGAAATTGTACGATTCAAGAGGATTTTCTCACTAAAATATAAAGAAAGACTTCTGAAACGGTTAGCAAGATTAGTAACAAAAGATTATAGTCAGTTCTATAGAATAGACTACCTAGAAGTTTTTTCTCTTGTTACTAAAATGAATATAATTCACTTCTTAACTTTTATGGTTATTAGTTTTTGATTGTCTAAGAAATAATATGATGTAAAATATGCCTTTCAAAAAAATATATTTGGAATTTCCTCTAGGTTTCATCAACTTTTTCACATAAAATAAGGCATGCATGGTAGAAAAAGACTATATTTGATTTTAATCAATCCCTAAGTATGTGGTTTGACAAATTTGTAATGGCCATGTGGGGAATGAGATATAGACAAAACCAAGGAGATCATATATTTTCCATAAAACATTCTCCTGATGGAAAATTTTCAATTATTGTTGTGTATGTTGATTATACAATAATTACTTACCGGATATAGAACTGGCAAAGTTTAAAAAAAAAATCTCTTTCAGCAAAAGGATGTTATGCATTTTTTGAGAAACAAAAATATTTAATTGCAAGCATTGTAAAACTACTATTGAATTAGGTCAAAACCAAGATGTCGTTGAAGATGGAATTGAATTTGACATTGATAATATCAAAGATTAGTTGGGAAACTAATCTATTTATCTTAGGCATGTCTTGACACTTACTTTTGCTGCAAGTTTTGTAAGTCACTTTTTGCACAAATCAAATGAATCTCAACTTCAAGTTGCTTGTAGAATTCATAGGAGTTCATATATATGTTGCGCAAGTGCTCTGAATTCAGATTCAACATTATGCAAAAAGGTTTAAAAATTAAATAAAAAAGGACCTATAAGGATATACTACCATAAAAGTCCACTATAATATGGCCAACCAAATATATAGAGGTGAATAGGTATTCATGAAAAGAAGTTAGGAAAAGACTTAATATGCACTTCATCTGTTTCAACGAGAAGTCAACTAGTTTATCCAGGGACTTTGTAAGTTGCAACTATGCATTCAAAAATATTTTCAGCAAATGTGGGATAGTAGAATTCTAAAATTCAATTCAAGGGGTAGAGTTGTAAGTACTAATATTGCCAATATAAGGAATGAATGAATCCACAAATATGTGTGATTAATAAGGGAAAACATATTCTATGTATTCATGTATATAATGAGGAAAAAAGATTTGCACGAATTCATATGTTTAACATGGAAAGGTGAGTGAAACAAATTGCTCCCTCCTTTCATCGGCCATTATAAGGAGTTTTGGATAATAATTTTGTACTAAACTACTTTATTATTCCTCAATCAACTCATTTTCTTCAGCAAGCCAAAAAATATATAAGTCAGAGAAAAAAATACCATACCAAATGTTTTACCATAAACAGCATTCAATTCATCTTCTCCTGCACATTTAGAAATAAAGTATGCACTTAAATGTACAATATTCTACCCAAAAAAAAAGATATTTCTGAGATTAAAGTTTCTCATAAATTTGCCTCCCTCTCACATCCCCAATCTTGATATTTTTAGTACCTTTTGGTGGATGTAAGAGAAATTTCCAATGACACTCTTAACAAGGGCGGAAATAAATCAATTGTATGGATAATATTTTTTGAGTTTCTGTTAGTCTAAAGCATTGTAAATTTTTTAAATTTGCGTAGAACATCATCTCTTGCTTTTTGAAGCAGATCACAAATAATCTTATAGGATGTCTGAGCATAACTCTGATTCTAGCAATAAGAGAAACAGTGTTCTAGCTTATTCTAACTAACCAGCGATCACAGGAACTCCTTAAGTAGAAGACAACGGAAAAGTGTTGAGGGGAAGAAATTAGGAGGTAAATGACCACGACATGTTTGCAACTGTAAATTGAAAGAAGTTTGAATGATAAGGTTCATTTTCATACCAAATTTCTTCAAGTGTAAAGTTTTCCCTGCCAGAAATTTTGGTCGAAAAGATGAGCTAAATCCCTCTATTCATTTTCTTAAACTTTTACTCTGGTTTGAATTCTTGCCCTCCTATTGTTTAGAAGAAAAGTTTCCATATTGCTTTTAATGTATAAATTGGAGCTGAAAAACAATGGCTCCACGGACAAGTTTACTTACATTTTCTAATTTCAAACAATGCAGAAGAAATCTAATGGCACTGTTGAGTGTCATCTGGAGTATCCAAGTCTGGAGGTATGCTGCTCTTAACTGATTAGGCTTTTATGCTTTTTGATGTTTTATCATGTTGCAATTTCATTCGCTTTGTTTTTCTGCTCTTTTTCTCTAAATAATCAATTTAGGTTGTTAGTTTCTATTTTCTGAAGAAAATTTTTTGATGTAGTTTCTAGGTTTTACCTCAAATTTTTGCTGGATGAGTACATATTCTGCATGGGTAGTATGGATTGATTTCAAATGAGGGCGAACCAAATCAAATTTGAAATTTGTATAATAATGGGGGTGTAGTATGATCAAAATCAGCAATGATTTTGCATAAGCTCAACTCTAAATTTTTGGAATTAAAACAATCTTGCAGCTACTTCTAGCAGGATATAACATAGCCTAATCAAAACGGTACAATAATAGTGGTCTTTAATTTTATGAAGAGAAGAGGGTGACGCACAAAATGGTACAAAAATAGTGGTCTTTCATTATATGAGGAGAAGAAGGTAATGCATTCTGATGCAGTATAGGAGTTGAAAATTGACAAGAGTTTTGTCCAAATAAAATTAATAGAGTTGGTATTGGAGTAAGTTAGACTTAATTGTTCGAAATTGAAGTTTACAAATGCAACAAGTAGTAGAAGAAATCAAATTTAAACCAGTTAAGAAAGATTTTTTCATGAAAATCTGTCCAAGTTAAACGGTTAGTTGAATCATTGGCTCCTAATCAACCATTAATAAGAATATGAAAGAAGAATTTTAAAATATAATTCCTTTATTAAGAACTTGGGATATTTGAAGCTGATTACTTTCCTAGGTATTTTGTTGATTAAGCATGTGTCAACAAGAAATATTGCTTCCCAAAAGTTTTTTGAAACTTAATCTTATAAAAGAAAAGTCATATGACTATCAGAAGTTATCAAGTTTTTCTTTCTGCCACCCTATTTTGTTGGGGGTATTAGGACAGGAGAATTGATGAATGATTAAATCTTTATTGAAAAGAAAGATAAATTTTGATTAAAATAATCACAAGCATTATTTGTAAGCATTATTTGTGTGAAACATTTTAATATTGGCATTAAATTAATTTTTAATCATAGTAATAAAAGTAGGGAGAATAACGCTAATATCAAATTTTTTTACAAGATATATGCAGTCATTCAAGTGTGAGGTACATGAAAAATAACAAAATGTTAGGGATTTTTTAAGGTCCCTAAATATTAGAGTGAATTAACATAAAATGATAAGATGTTCTAGAATCACTTTTAGAAAAATAAATGCGATGATATTTTATAGTTTCACTAGTCCCAAAATGAGTTTCTTTAGTGTTAATATTTATAAAAAAGATAAAAATATATATCATAAGATTTTGAATGAGGGACGCCTAGCTTTTAATGGTGTTTCCAAATGATTTTCGTATTAAGAGTGCAGATGAAGGAACCCGACAAGTGATTTTTGTCTTCAAGAATCTATAGCTCATCGTTTTCTCTAGCTTGCATAATCGCCTTCCTCATAGTGAGATCCATCAATAAAAAATGATTAGGAAAGAGATTACTTTGCAATTATGTTGTTTATGAATTTGATAGTGTGGGAAATGTAGAATATTATTGAGGATAAATGTGAGATAAATAAGAATATGTCCTTAACTTGCCACACTATCAACTTCTTTAGCTTTTCTATTATTAAGATATGGCTATATATTTGAAAAGGCTGGCAGTTATTGTCATATAATCTGTGGCTCTGGAATCTTGGACCTTGGTTTAAGGAGAACTATTTTAGGCAAATAAAAAAACAGGGTTAACATTTATACTTTTTAGAGCAACAGAGCATAACCCAAAATTTTTTTAAGGGTTAGGGTGTTTTTGAGCATGTTGATTTAATTTGAGTCAAGCTTTGTTGATTCTACAAGGCAAGTTTATCCTTGAATAAAATTCTTTGTTTCCACTATCGTTTTGGGGTTTTCTATGAAGCTTGAATTTTTTTCTTTGATGTGTCCTTTTTTCATGATTGCTTTTGAAAGAAATACATTGTCTTTGTTTTGTGAAAGAATTAACGATCACTAATATTTTTTTAGGTCCAATCATTGTCATTGCCGATTTTTGTTTTGGTCCAAATATAGGTCAAATCATAGGTCAAATCTAACAAACTTTCAATTGAATTAAAATCTTAGATGACAGAGGTTTGTTTTGTTTTTAGATTGAGATTTTTATTTTAATTTTATAGATGAAAACAACATCTTTTACGTTTTAGTATGTTTGTTTGATAGCATCCCAAATATCTTTTGCTATTGTGAGAATCATGTATCGCCTACTAATTTCAGGCATCATTATGTTATATAACCATGTTACGATCATAGGCTAAATTTCATCCCAAATTATAAATTTTGGGTCTTTTGGATCTTGAGGAGAATCCATAAGATAAGGAATTTTCTCCTTTTAGGAATTTTTTTTATAATTTGAGAGTACATTAGGTAGTTTCATCCATTCAATTGGTATGAGTTACATAGGCCTCAGAGCTCTCTTTTACTTTGGTTTTCACCATTCATGATGGTTGACTCCTTCAAGGGAAATTTAAAAAATTGAATTTAGCGAATAGAAAGCTTTTCTACTTGTTTGAATGCATACGTTTGAATCCATCCATACGAAACCTTTGGTTCTCATAACAAGGAATTAAATATTTTGCTTGATGAAATCATGTCTGAGTTGAAAATAATAAGATAGTTCTTCAAAAAGATTTTCCTTCTGACCATAGTGGGGAAAAGCATCAGCAATTTTTAGAAAAAATAAGAAGCTGATCATGTCTAGCTAGAATCACATTCTCTCTAGTATTTAAACATGTAAATCGTTTGCCAGGCATGGGCTGATTAGTTATATTGAATTTGCAAAATAGGTGTATTGAAAGATCATAGTCCTAGGAGCAATTAGAAGATCTTTCATCAATGTAAACCTTATCATTAAATTCACATCAAGAATTCACCCCAATTACAAGAACTATTCTTGACTCTTGTGGAGCATAAATAGTTGTCAGAACATTATATAAATGTGAAACTTGTCAGATTGAAGAGAATAGGAATCATGTGTCAACGAAGAAGTTGAGAATATTCTGACCTATATAGCACCGACATTTCTAAAAAGGTGTCGTACCCATGTCGGACATGTATCTGACACCAATACTTGTCAGACATGTCCCAACGCTTATTCAACCCTACAAAATGTGTGTGAATTTTTATTTTGGTATGAACACTTCCGAGACACGTCTTGACACTATATTGGATATGAGCTCAACACGATTTGAGGGTAATGAGACACGGGAAGTAGAAATTTATGAATATATTTATAACCCTAATTATAGCTCATAGTCAAAGTTGTTGCCTCTGTTGTCAGGTCAAAGCTCCCTCTAACTGATATTGGAGTTAACCCAAACCACAATAGTAAAAACAAATGTTATTACGAAAAAAAAAATAGACGTTTACAACTAAACATACTTTAAAGGGAAATTACAACAAAATAAGACTTAAACTCATGCTAGGGCTCGATCCAGGATGGTGGATGTTGGCTAGGTGGTCGGGGATTGGTGTTAGAAGGTTGAAATGGGCTCTAGGTTGCTGGGACAACAAAAGAAAGGGATGGAATTGCGTTGGTTGTGAAGCGGAGGGCCTAGAACGATAGTGACAAGCATGGGGAGTGCCGGGACAACGAGGTGTAGCGAAGAGGAATGGTTTTAAACTGCATTACAACAAGAGGAGTGCTACCCTAGGGCTGCATCAATGACGGTGAGTGCTTTAATGAATGAAATATGTGGTTGGGTGGCGGGACTGCAAGAAAAGACATTTGGGTGCTACAACAAGTACGAAAAGCTAGACAACAATCGATACAACGAGGCGAGGAAGTTAATAAGTGTGGCGACAAAGGTGGGGTGCTGAGACTGCAAGGGCAAGGAATAGGAGGGAGTGGAAGGAAATGGCGACGGATGAAAAGATTGTCGAGTAGTTGGGTCGGATAAATATCTTCTCAAGAACTAACTACAATAGGAGCACCACTAGATTCTATGGAAAGAGATCACCACCTTAAACAAGTTACAGTCGGAGCACCTTCTCGACTTCGAATACAGTCCTAGATTGAAAAATACTAGATGCTGACGCCTGTCCTGACAGAAAACACCATAAAAGTTGATTTCAAAACTATAATACAACACATGTATAGTAAATGACTAAAAAAGAATGAAAGTTAATAGGAAAGGAAGTATAATAAAGGAAAATGGAGTTGTTTTGGCGGCTCGGCTCCTGTGTCCCATGATATTGAATCCCGTGATAATGTAGCAGCCGCAATATCACAAAATGTGTCAATATTTTGGGGTTGGAGCTTCGATCTCATTTGTCGAAACTTCTATATGCACATTCAAAATAATAGAGCTGCTATAATCTCCCCAGTTTAAGGGATCTTCGACTACGGTACGAGAAGTACATGGATCCTACTGTCGACTGCACTGTCTCCCAAAATGCTGAGTTATTTTCCTTACTTGCGAGCAAACATCCATATCAGTCCAACTATCTAGGGGTACCCTTGCCATGTTGAACAGAGATTTCATGCCAAGTATATTCTATTGAATTTTCCAAAAGCAACCCAAGGTTGGTTCAACCTGATCTGAGGTGAGGACAATTTGAATCTCTCTTAATGTTTGCAGCCAGGGTGGCAAGTTAGACAATTTGAATCTCTTAATGTTTGCAGCCAGGGTGGCAAGTTAGCAAACAGGATGTTCTGAAACTCTCTCTGTACTAGTTGTCCTTCATCTGTGATTGATTCTTCTTTCCAGAGATCTTCTGTGATCACTAGGACTGATCTTCTCGATGCTTCTTTGTTGGTTAGGACATCTGTAATCTTGGACTCCGCAGATGGTAGAAGAATTATGTGATTGCCATTTTTGGTAATTGAGTAGTTTGTTCGTGTATCCATTATGTTCGAGTCTTGCAATCATACTGCCATGGTCTTCCCAACCTAGCAAGCATTCATGGGCATCACATCGCAACAACCTAATCCTGTTGTTGATTCCCCATTGAAACTTTCATCAGACACCTCCTGTCAATGTTGTTCTTGTTCTTTTTCTACAGCGTTAGGGAATATGGCTGAGGATATCTTTGAGCCGTGATGCAAAGTTTGTCCATCATCAACGAGGATGTCACATTCTTGCTGTTATTTACATCGATGATGCTGCTGCATATATTTCTCTACAAGGTTCAACGAGTGTGTAATATATTGTGTTGAAGGCAATTGTTGCTCCTTCGATGCCTCAATCGAAAGGACTCGTCGAATTACAGGAATCTTGCCCTCATTTGGTGGAAGCTGATACACAACTTTTCTTCAGTTGCTTCCTCGTCGCTAACTTATTTCATTGCCTCCTGTTTAGTAAAATTTACAAACTCGGCTCTTTAGGAAACTAGAAGTGATGTGTCCAAAACCATGACACCTGAAGCATGTTCTAGTTGAGACTGTAGTGGGCATGCTTCTCTTATCAGGTTTCTTCTCACTCAGAGTGGCTCTATCTTGCTCCTGACCAGTCTGCTCCACTCCTTATAGGGCGGTCCTCTTGAGATCTCCAATTGTGGATGGCTATCTGAGTGCTAGTGGTTGTCTGCTCTGCTTCTCTTGTCTTTCCACTTTTAGTGCTAAAGTCTGCACGTCCCTCAGTATCCAAAAATGTTGCAATTGGACCACATTATTGATGGTAAGCTTCAGGCCTCTCAAATACCTAATTATGGTGTACTCCTCTGTTTCATTTGGTGCACACTTCAACTTAAGTTTGTAAATTTTACTGTTTGCTCCACTGATTGCTCCTTTTGTTGCAGGTAGTGGAGCATCGAGAAAATATCCTGGCGGTAATGCAGGGGTAATTGTTGTCGCTGCATCTCCTGTTTCATCTTCACTCAAAAGGTGATTCTATTTCGTCCTCTTTGTCTCTCCCTCTTCAGATTTTCCTACTGCAAGGAAGCATTTTTCTTCAGCTAGATGGCGATGAGCTTCACTCTTCTATTGTCGAGCACCTTCTTGTTTTCAACGACCTGCTCAACTGTCTACATCCACTCGAGGGAGTAATTTGGATCAATTCTCCCCTCAAACTTTGGTAGGTCCACTTTCATTCCCATATTTATGTATTGTCCAATATACACATCATCTCTCTATCTTCCAACAAACAATCCATCTTTGTATCCTCTAACAAGCATCTCATCATTGTATCTTCCAATAAGCACCTCATCTCAATATCCTTTAATAGGCATCTCATCTTTGTATCTTCCAACAGACACTTCAGCTCTAGATCTCTGCTGATATTATATCCTGAAGCATTGTGGTCTATATTCTTCTCCACTGGAAGTATCCCTACGGAAGAGATTCATGTATTCTATTTTCTCTCCTTCACAACTTTAACTATTACGTTCGATGTTGATCTTTCCCTCGATACTTCACTCAATGGTATTGAGCTGATTTAGCACTTGGCAGAGTAGCTGTTGTATGTCGTCCATGATAGATTTTTGATCAGATTTCGGTAATTGCTCGATGGCGGTGTGATTGGGGCTTTGGGTATAGGTAAGTGGAAGGAGGTGTGCAGGGTGGGGGGAAAAGAAAATTTATGTGGTGGGGGATGCTAGAAACTTTATGACATGACTAAAGTTAGGCTAAGCTATGCTATCCAATGATACTGGAGCTAGCCCAATTCACAATAGAAAAATAAAAATGTTGTTACTAAAAAATAAATAAACGGTTACAACCAAACATACTTGGAAGGGAAATTACAACAAAATAAGACAAACTTCTGTCAGGGCTTCATTAGGGTGGTGGGCTAGGTGCTTGAGGAGTGGTGATAGTAGGATGAAATGGGCTGTGTTGTTGGGACAACAAAATGAGGGGATGGAATTGCATTGGCGGTGAAGCGGAGGTTCTGGAACGACAGCGTCAGCCAAGAGGAGCATTGGGCAGTAAAGGGGAAGGGTTGTGAATTGCAATACGACATGAGGAATGCTGTCTCGGGGCTACGATTGCGAGGGGGGTGGCTGGAATGTATGAAATAGGTGGGACTGTAGGAAAAGATATCAAGGCCACTGTCTTGGGCGGCTGCAATAAGTACGGAGGGCTAGACAACGGTCGAAACAACGAGGTAAGGGAGGGAACAGGGGCGACGGTAAAGGTAGAGGGTTGGGACTGCGAGGTTAGTGAAGAGGAGAGAGGGGAGGTAATGGCGGCGACTGCAAAGGTTTTGGAGGAGTTGGGAAAGGATAAATACCCCATCGGGAACAAGCTACAGCTGAAGCATCATTTGATGCCTTGGAAGGAGCTCTCCACAGATGATTTATTGGTAAAGCGCCTTTTTGCCTTCAGATACATCCCTGCAAGGGTAAACCTTGAACGTTGGCAACTGTTCTTATAAAAAAATATCATAAAAATTGATTTCTAAATCCTAAGCTAACACATATATTGGAAATGACTAAAAAGGAATGAAAGATAATAGGAAATGAAGTATAATAAAAGAAAATGTGACTGTTTGTGCGGTTTGTCTCCCATCTCCTGTGATATTGAATCCCGTTGTACTGTAGCAGCTACAGTACTGTGAAAAATCTTTGCGGGAGTCACAATCGAATTTTGGATACTAATATTTGTCAAAATCTAACATAAAAAATGCATCCAATATTCATCGAAGCCGAGCATTAGTAGTTCTCTGTTTGTTTGTTGAAGCCAAGCTTTAAAGGTTCTTGCTTCATTCGTCGAAGTAGAGTATTGTAGTTCTCTTTTGTTCATCGAAGTCAAACCTGCACCCGCTAAAGCGGAAGCCATGACTTGATTTGTCACAATCGGAGCAGGAGTCAAACATGTTATTAAAAGCCAATCCAAATGTCCCATGAATTTTGCCACGCTTGCGCTAAGGCTTCTATTCATCGAAGTCAAGTGGACTCAAAGTCGTCTTAATTATAGATGTGATATTTATAATTTATTTTTTTGCTCTTTAATGAGTTAATAGTTATAAATATATACTTATTCTATTTCTAAAAGTTAAATTTTAACTTAATTATTTAAACAAGGTGTAATCGTATGATATTTTAAATTATAGTCGATAAGTTTGAAAAATTCTATTGAAACATATTATATATCGAATTTTGAAACTTAATTTTTATAAGCATGAGGTTCAATAATAAAAGCTAAATTTAGATATATATATATATATATATATATATATATATATAATATTAATTAATTAAGTATAATGTCTTTTTTTTTTTTAATTATGTCATGTCCAATATTGTGTCGTGTCCATGTCTGTCTTTCAAAGATTGTGACTATCAGAATTCCAGCCACAAATAGCACCACCAACCAGGCAATTTGCATTGACAATTTTAAATCGCCAATTTTAACACCTCCAATATGAATTAGACGAGATTAGTTAATGTGTAGTTTTCTGAAGGCAAATGATGTCAATATGCTGATCCATCTCATATCGTTTTTGTAATGAGACTTTAGATTTAACTTTTACAAAGAAAGTTCTAGATTTGATTAAGGAGACTCTAGCGAACTATCTCAATTGGCATTTTGATCAATACCTTCCCATTTCATTGGCCTAATATGTAATCAAATTTAGTATCTAATCCTATACATGTCACTTCAGTATCGTCACAACTTGGCCAACACTGAATGGTATTAGTATATCATAAATTCCCATCATAAACTATTTATTCGGCTAACTGTGGTACAACCATTTTTATGTGATAATTAAGGATGTGAACCATTTACTGGATTTTATTTCTTTTTTAGCTTATTTTGTCAGCTGGAAATTTATTTTACTTGGATAATCAGTTCGAGAAAAATGGTCTTATTTTTATCGCAGGAGGCAATTTTAACTCCATGGAGGGATCTTCCCAGGAAAACAACCAAAACTTACTTTGCTATGAGAGGTTTGTAGTTCTTTAATTTTTATACAATTCAACTCTGTAAATCCTACTCTTGTAGCACCAAATTTCTTTCTTTATTTTAATGATTCCTCATCTTTGACCGGTTGGCTTATGTGTTTCTTCAAATAATATAATTATGATAGGTGGCCTTGTAAGTAAAAGACGAGATGTTCCCATGAAAGAATTTTTTTAACGGAGATTTAGGATTAGTAAAATAAAATAGGGTATGTGATTTTGTGATTTTTTGGATGTGAAATTAATGATTTTTGTTTGATATTACTACAATATTAAGCACCATCTATGTGTACTTAGTTATCTAAGGGTCCGTTTGGGGCATCTTATAAGTGCAGGTGGCGTTTTCAAAACGCCGCCGTATCATTTGGTTCGCGCATTTCGTCAGCTTATCCGAAATTGCGTTTGAGTTTTTACACTAAACACAGGCCGCGGGTCGACCCCTGCGGCCGGCCCGGGTGCCGCGTTTCAGGATAAGTAGCTTATCCTGATACGTATAAGCTGCCCCAAACGGACCCTAAGTGTACTTAGATGCCTTGGATGTAATTCGACATAATAGGGTTATAAATGAGAATGGAATGGAGCATTGTCTTGTTGTTAAAAATGCTCACCCAAACTAAAAATATCACCTCTAGTAACACTTAATCTTAATAAATAGAAGATCCATGAAGTTAATTATCAAATTGTTGGAATAAGGGCCTTGATTATTGTGATGCTCTTATTTCAAATAGCGGGATTATTTTGAGTTGTTCGGTGGCACTTGTTCCTGCATTGATACAATTTTTCTTTATATTTAAAAGGGTAATATATCCTTAGAAAACAAGGTTACTTTGCTTGGCCTTTGTCACAAAACTTTTCCTGTTGTATTTGATTTTCATAACTTTTGAACTTATTAGGCCAGCAAATGATTTTCCTTCCATCTTGTCAGTTCTTGAATATTTTGAGTCATCACAAAACCGTAAGCCTTGTCAGACATCGGGCTCTGATCTTCCTCTTGTGTTGCAGTTGAGAAAGAATCTTTGTGATGCACAGGTGACTATTGCGTTCAATTTCATATATTCGAATGTTTTCTTTTTTAATATAAAATTGAGAAATCATCTGCAGGGACTCGATGAATCGCATATCCCAGACCTCTTATTGGATCGACTCGTTGCAGCTGGTTCCAGAGAGCATCCTCCTGTATGTGCCATCCTGGGTGGAATTCTTGGCCAGGTGCTGTCTAAATTTCACTTATAGCAAGAACTCTACATTCGCAGATGGTTTATATTTCTTGTTTTAATCAATGATTAATAAATGTTATTTCATTCCATTCATTTATGAAGATGAGAATTATAAGTTATGTAAGATAATTTATGGCATGAATAAAATTTTTATTGAGAATTTAAAAATTGTTTATCCATTCGTAGATTTGATTTTTTATCAAGTGAAAGACAAAAATTCTTGTGGATATTATCTATTCATATAGATGGGAAAGCTTATAACGTTGTTTTTGATATTTTCATTTGTTTTAGTTATTTTGTTGTCATCTCTTCTAGTGTTTTGGATATTCTTCATGCTCATTTTCGCTGTATCCGATGTACTTTTGTTCCTTTTTATGCATCTTTTACTAGATCTGCAGTGTTTAGCCTGTGCTCCTTGGCATGCATGAAATAAATTAATTTGTAGGAGATCAATATTTTTCTTGTAGAAAGGTACCTCCTTTACCATTGATTCGCCAAGTGAGAACCCCTTGGAGCCTAGGAGTATTTTTCTTTTCAGCTGAAAATAGCAATGATCGCTATCATTCTTTTCATTTATGTAGCATAGCTTGCTTAGTTGAAGTTGAAGGTTTTGCTAACTTTATTTTCATTTAGGGTTCTGATTGGTCAGCTAAAATAGGAGTGCATTACATTTTTTTCTTGCGGGGTTTTTAGGAAGTCAAATGTTTGGCAGGAAGAATTTTAAATGAATTATAAATTTACAATGCTTTTGAAATTCATTCCTTAGTATATATTCAATGTATTTGAAATTCGTGGGATAAATACAACTTTATGTAAAGTGTTGCAGGCCGCCACTGACACAGCCTGCCATCATCTGCCTGGCTACAATAGGATTGCATTGCATTCTTTTTCCGAGGGTTTTAGAAATTCAGATGATTGGTCGGAAGAATTCCAATTGTATTATAATTAAGCATTGCATTTGAAGTTCATTCCTTAGTGTATATATTCAGCGTAAAGTGTTGCAGGCTGCCACGGGCTCCGCCTGCCATCACCTGCCACCGCCGTCACTGTCGCCTTTGTTGCAGCTGCCCGATCACTCCCCACATCCATTGGCCGCCTGCCCGCCCGCCCATCCATCACTGCCCCTTCACCCGCTCATTATTGATCTCATAATTTATAATATTAATATTTTCATTTTACTTCAAATCAAACAAGAAAATATAAAGTTTTATATTTATGTTATGCTAAACTAAAATATTTCAAATACATAACACCACACTTACGCTGCATTACCTTTTTAGCAAACCAAACAGCTCCTTATAGGGTTCTCTCGTTGATTCCTTGGAGAGTCGTATGTGCTGCGAAATCATCACCCTTCAGCTTTAAGAACTTAGTTCTTTCTTTTGAAAGCAATTAGTCGTGTTTCTTGACAGTTTTATTTCCCTTACTGTGATGTAAACACAATTTTATGCAACTGTTTCCTGTTTTCATATTGTACTGATGATTTCTTCAATCTGAATATTGGCTGCTAAATATTTCTCAGGAAGTCATCAAGGCAATCTCTGGCAAGGGCGATCCTATCAAAAACTTCTTTTACTTCGACGCTGCAGATGGAAAAGGCATTATGGAAGAGATATCTCCTGCATCTTTTAGCTGACACTGTACTTACATTTTTGTATCGGCCGAGTTGCCAAACAAGTCTGCAAGACAATTTTAATATTTACATTCTTGTCTGAAATGATATTTGTATGTTTTCTATTAGGTCTCTTGTTGCAGAAATGCCAACTTTCATCTGACTTTGCTTCTCTTAATTAAACCACCCCTTAATGCCTAAATTCATGCATGGAGAGAATGAAGAGGCTTAGAAGTAATGAAATAAGATAGCTTAAAATGGGCACGAATGAATATGATTTTGTTGCACTATAAGAAGGTTAGTAATAGGAATCTGATAAATATGGGAGCACTTTATATGAAATTTGATCAGTGATTAAATTGGTGATATTCTTATTTGTGACTCCATGTCTATTTATCTATAAGTGGCACCAAGCGTAAATTTAATTAATAAAATATATAAGAAAAATTTATATTCTTACAAATGAAATGTTGCAATTTAATATACATAGCATTAAAATCTAGCATTTTTTTTTAAAATTTTACTCACAATTAAATAATATTTTTATTAACTTTTTAATGATTTCAGTCATGGAACAGTGAAAATACATAGCTTTCGAAATCATGTTTCTTGGGGTGGTCAATTAATTATGTAAACTTGCATGCTTTTGATGGTATTGGCGACCAATTAAAAATAGATTTTTAATTATGTATATTCAATTAATAACAATTGAAATGTAGAATTCAGATGTATTCTTAATGTGTCTAAAAATTTGAATTTTTTAGGATTGTAATCTTTGGGTCAGCGAAATGTGGGATCCACTTTTTGGGGAATGTTAATTGAAGTAATAATAAGAATTTTTCCAGTGAAACATCTTTAAAGTTAAAAATTGATTACTACATAAAATTTTGGAAGGATTTAATGATGATAACCACAAAGTATTGTATAATTTCTTATCTTCCCTCGCTTGTTATTTTCTAGAAGATGAGAAAATATTACATGCATGTCAAGATATGCAGATGACACCGTGAAATTCACACCATCATTTGTCGAGGTTGGATATAATATTTTCTTTCCTTGAAGACTTCTTCTCTTTGTTTGGTTTTGTATGAAATTAATCATATCAACCCCTCTTTAAATTCAAAATTGATGCCACATAAACTGAAAATAGCTAAAAATATGAAAGTTATTAAGAAATCAAGGAAACAACATGAATTCCCGAGTCCCTGACAAATAGCAAATACTTTGCTTGAGCATAAAAATAGCATTCCTTGTTTAATGGTTGTACAACTCCATGAATAAATATTGCAGACTAAAACAGAGAGTCTTATTATTAGTAACAGAATATACCTCACCTTTACAAATTGTACTTGTACTAATTAAGCAGATTAGGTTGGGAAAATCTGCATTTGGTTCAATATGGTTTCAAAGTTGTCATTAGATTTCATTATTGGATGAGTGTGCACTCCTTCATAAGTGGTTACTACAATCTCTTGATCCATTGATAGTCTCTGAACTTGTTTCTTGACACTGCAGTCTTTGTGTGTGCATCTGTAATAGCTCCTACAGAAAGAGAACATGGTAGATTCAGTTTTTGTATTTAAATAAATAATTTTAAATTTTCTTAATAAAATGATTAACAGTCCCATTTTTATTTGAAAAAAGGTGGGAGTAAAATGTCTTTTAAGTTCATATTTTAAATTGTTGAATGTGTTATTTCGAAACGGTGAGTATTGTCACAAATATTTTTAATTGTGGGAATGGCTTCACTAAGTGCTAATTTTCTTGAGGGTTTTTAACTCTCTACAAGGAACCGTCATATGGCATTTTGGCTAGCCTTTAGGGAGTATTCTTCTAAAATGTTAGGTAAATTTTATATATTTTTTATTAAGTTATTTGATTGGTTGACTTGATGGTGAACTCATTTGATCGTGTAAGTTCCTTGAGCATTGTCAACGAACTCAATTTTTCTATGAAGAAATTCGTCTTCCATATATGACTACATTGGCCATTAAACTGTAATATAACTTAAATGAAAGAAATGTAGATAATCTATTTAAGTTCAAGCTATCCTTCACTAGGAGAATGTAGCTCTTTATAAGGAGTAGTTATTGTAACTTTTTAACTTGTTCTACATTGAGATATCATGGTATTCAATTATCTACTTTACTATCTTCATTCTTTATTTAGGTTAGTTACATTTGAAAAAGAGTTTCTCAAGTGTAGTACTCCCTCGCATTTAGGTATTTGTCCAAGTAGGATATAAAGATAAGACGATTTTTATTTTACTCTAAGCAAACTTGACTATAAGGGGTGAGTTCCCCTAGTTATAAATGAGACAAGTTCCCTGAGTGTTATTGTCAAGCTCTCTCTATATTGCAAATGATATTACTTAATGTATACGTATATAGATATATACTCATTAATATAGTTACTTGGAGTAACCAAAAAGATAAAACAATAAAATAAAAAGAAGATGAGAGGTTTTTAGAGATTATGCTTTTGTTAACTATGTTGTTAAAGATATTCCTATTGCATAGTTATGTTTTTTGTGTAATTCTTTTTTTTTTTTTTTTTTTTTTTTTTTGACTTTCCACACACTCCTTTTTTTTTTATTTTTTTTTTTTCTATGACATTCTCCACACTCATCACACTTTTTAGAATATTGGATCATAATTTTTCAATGAATTCATACCACCAAAGAAATAGCTAAATTATAAAAATAATCAAGCACATAGAACATGTGAAAAATAGGAAAAAAATAAATGTCTTCTCTCTACTTTGGGATCCTCTCTTTTTTTGAAACTAATCACCTTAATTTATAGAGGAATTGGTTATACATTACAAATAAAGTGTTTATTATACATGAATCCTTAGAAATTTTTGATATGTTCTCTTTCTCTTCTTTTAGCATAAGCATTATAGCTGAAATTATAATTGTAATGCTCTTTATTGGTAAAATTTCCATATAAATGCTTTTCTTTGGAAGGTTGATCATTTTGGGGAATTGATCTTTTAAGAGAGTTAATCTCCCTAGGGAATTGATCTCTTGGGAGAGTTAATCTCCAAGGTAATTACATCCCATGGAAGAACATGAAAGAGTATATCTTTATGGAGGAGTTTATCTCTTGGGAGAGTTCACCTCCTATGAGAGTTAGACTTCTGGGAGAGGTGACCTCTCTCAATAAGTTGATCCCCTAGAGAGTTGATCTCCTAAAGGGGTGATATCTTGGGTGAATTGATCTCATGGGAGAATTGATCTCACAGAAGATTATTTCTCCAAGGAAGATTAACTCTCTCAAGAGATCAAATTTAAAGAATTGAATAAGAAAAGAATTAAACACATAAATTAAAAAAAATGAGAAAAAATAAATCCCTTCTCTATTTTTTTATGGATCCTCTCCTTTTTCGGATAACTCTCACCCTATTTTTAGAACAATTTGCATATACATTACAAAAAAAATATATTTATATACACAAATCCCAAGAGATCTTTAATCAACCCACTCTTCTTTTAACTATAAGTTTTAATTAATATTATCCTAATAATTCCTTGTATTCATACCATTCCTTATAAATCCTTTTTTTATAGAGAGTTTACTGAATGTAAACTTTTAATACTTAAATTTCATTTATTTGTACTATATTAAATAATGACTATTCAAACTATTTTTTTTTTTGTTTATTTTAATTTTTAACAATGTAAGATATTAGCAAGATTTATGCTTCCTTCTCCTAAGTTGCGAGATAATGAATTTCCAAATGATCCTAAAGCTATTTGATTGCTATGTTTAAGAAGTTGATCTTTAAATTGGCCTATTTTATTGGTTTTTTAATTGAAAGAGAAGAGTATTTTGTTAAAATTTAATAGGATAACTTGTGTTTGGGTGTGCCAATAATAGAATTAATACTTCTTTGGGATTCTAATTATAATTTAGGCAGTCTAATAGGCATATTTGCTAATCTCATTAAATTTGAAATGCATTTCTGAATATATAAATTGGTTGCTCTCTTCCTTTTAAATATATAACTAGATGTCATCTTTCTTCTAGTGTAATTTGTTAAGGAACTCTCATATGATTTTAGATAGGCTCAACATGTGTTTTTCATTATGTAAACACGCATTATTATTTTTGATTGGTCGACGATTTCAACTCATTAGATTTTCCATATGGCTTTTTTTTTTAATGTAATGATTTTGGTCAGTTCAAATGTTTCCATATGTAAGTGGCTCACATATGATTGTGGCGCCCCAAATAAGCTTGGTTGCCCCTTTCTTAATTCTCTCTTTTATCTCTAAATAAATAAATATAAACATATAATCAAAATTTGTCCCACAGACCACCATATCAAGAGCACTTGGGATTAGGGTTAGAGAAAGAGGAAGTGAACATCGTAAGTTAGAGAATGAGGCTAGACCCATACCTTTGCTCATATGGCTCTTGATCTCTCTTTTGTAGCTATGACCTTTATTTATATACAAGAGATATAATAATTATATGTATGGAATAACATTATAAGAAAAACACGAAATGATGTGTGATATCAAAGATTATTTTGCAGTGCATGCGAAGTCATAATCTCTTATGTATCTTAAATGATCTTATAATGCCAGTTGATGATAAAAGTCAATGAGTTGGTAGGGAATCGAAACTCGTTCATGTCGAACTAGCATGGTTGAGGCCCGAACTAATTGTTGGGCAAACTTATGGTGTCGTCTTCAAGCGACTTTGCAGAAAGCTATCATCAAATTGGTCCATTTTGAATACCTATAAATATTGTTATTCATTGGGTAAACTCTTGATATTGTCATCAACTAATTCACGAGACATCACAATAGGTTGCGTGTTGTCACGTACCTAAAGTGAGTTGATGATTCTGTCATAGGCCTAGAGTTTGTTGATGAGCTATCGAGCAAGTTGTTAACAATTGAGAGCCTACCCTCGATTGCCCCTCACTTGTTAGTTGGTATGGGTAGGTTTATTGTGAGTTGACTCGTGAACTGATTTCAAGGGTAGGCTCTCTTCAGAAATTTTAGAAGTGTCCTATTCTATGTACGATGTATAATCTCATACACTTAAAAGGGTTGTCAATATAAAAAATGATATTAATTTTATTATACATATTACTAATTTTCTATGCCATACAATTACATTTTTGAATGTTTAACAATGCACTTATATTTTCAATTTATCTCTATCCCTTAAGTATTAAGTTATATTAACAGTATTTTTTACTGTAGGATAAAGATTTGAATGTTAAATCTGTAAATATGCAGGTTTAGATGTCAGATATGTAAATAAATAAGGATTGTGTGGTGTTTAGGTAAATTCTTTTCATATAAAGGGAGGCATCAACTTTGACCAGTAAGTATTCGTAGTTTTACCGACCAGAATTATGGCGGTCATTTTCATCTAGAAATAGATCGGAAGTATTGTCACCGAAGCAATTCAGGTTGCCGAGTAAATGAAGCAAATGTGATAATCTGCTATTTACATTTTCATTGCACGGCATCATATGCAAAATTGTACATATCTGAAAAGTCATCCTGCATGATACCAGCTTGACGATATGCCTTAATTAGTATGTTAACATCATTTTTATATATGCATTAATTACGTTGAAGAGAATACCATTTAAATTTAGCACTTATATACATACCCCCTAATTCCTATGTATTTACGTACATACCTAAAACTTAATTTTTTTTTACATTTATATATATATATATAATACTTCCCCCTCGCCAACTTATATGATATGGAAAAACATGACTGTTTTTTTTTTATTTTTTTAATACCATGATCGGTAATAAATGTTTTATGTTATTGAAATAATATTCAAAATTTTATGATACCATTAATTAAAATCAATATAGGTAGCTCCCATAATCTAATGAGGAGTTTATATACATAATCTTCTACTTAAATTTGCATAAATAATATTTCAATTGCAATAAAATGATATATATGATCCGATTAATTCAGAGAAGGATTAGATAAAAAATGATTGACAGCAGTAGGTGATAGAGTTGTCTGCAAAAATCAAACCTTGGAAATTTGTTGTTCTTAACAGCCTTCTGGCCGTACTTACGCCATCGATAGCCATCATCCAGTACGTCCACCATACTCCTCGTCTGGAAAGCAAACCGAGGTTTCCTTATCTTGTTAACTAACTTGGTTTCAGTTTTCTTCTTCTTCGTTTCCTTCTTCTCCTGCTCCGTGCTTCCATGGAAGCTCTCTGACTTCTTCTCTTCATCCTCCTTCAGCTCTGAAAGAACGCAGAGATCTGCATGCGAAGGTTGAAGAAGATAGGTGTTGTTCGAAGAAGAGGAATGGGGTGAAGGAAAGAGGATGGGGATGTAATTCTCCATTAGTTTGATTGCTTTGGGAGCGAAAGAGAAGGGAATTAATTGTATGGTTTTAATGTGCGTGTCTGCCGGCTGGGGTTGAGTAAAGCTAGCGGAGGGAACCGAGATTGGGTGGCACGTGGAAGATATGGAATGCGAAGAGAGAAATGTTGCCTCCTCTCTCTCTCTCTCTCTCTCTCTCTCTCTCTCTCTCTCTATATATATATATATATATATATATATATATATTAGTGCCACAATACGCTGTAAGTTGGCGGGGTTCACTGTAAGTCTCTTTAAATCAGGGTACATGCCTAGTTATTCGAGACCACCTCCTTAATGCTCACGTCGCGAGAAAGGATTAGAACCCTGACCTGAGGGGACTTACACCGAGGATGTCAACCAAAAACTGATACATGCACTGTATTATATATATATATATATATATATATGCTTCGAAACTATAGTTGATTGTTTAACCGATGTGACTTCATAATTCATAGATCGGTTGATTTGACACGTTAGATGCAACTAATAAGTCTAAATTTGCATAGGAATAGTTTCTGACGACTTTGCATATACTTTTTCCTTTCTCAAAAGAAAAATATAATCACAAGAATTTTTTTTTTTTTTGAAAATTGTCTTCACTCTAAGTTTAATTAAGGAATTATATTCACATGACACAAAATATTGCTATTTACAAAATTTGCACTATCTTTCATAAAATTTTCAAATATCTGTGGTATATTGGTAGAGCAGTATCTCTGAAAGTCGTAAATCCTCTCAAGTCATGGGTTCAAATCCCCTCGTGTGTGTAGGGTGTGTTGCACAAATATTTAGCACACTTAGGGATGATCATAGCTTGTCTAATAACCTCCGTCCATTCCTTTTAATATATATATTTGTGTGTGTAACTATCCTTTATTTGAGTACAATGGCATTGTTCTGAACAAGTGATGATCTCGGTCCACAATGAAATCTATCAATTTAAGTTAGCTTAGAACAATCTTCAAAAGGATGTAAATACACGGCTCCATTTGACAACTTGACTCGAGCTCAATTCCAAAAAACTAAGATTTAGACTGATCCAATTACTATTCAAGTCAGTTCTAAGTTAACCTTAAAAATTACAAATCAATCCAAATATGATGTGATTATCACTATTTAGTTTCCAGTTTAGTTGGGTTAAGATCAGATTGATTGAGAAATGAGTTGTATTGAAGCTAATTGGGACACATGATTTACAAAGTTGCATGATTCACATTTGGTTTAGTTCTATAAGTGAATTTAGGTGGATTTGGATCAATCATTTATGCCTATACAATAAATAGATCCGACTTAATCAAGCACATAGTTCTGGTTAATTTACGTTCTAACCTGAGTTTGAATTGACACAAACTTGTTCTCAACTCATTTGAATCAAGTGGGTTATGAAGCATATATTAAACCAATTTAGCTTAAATATAACACTCAAATATTAAAGAAAATACTACGCCAATCATTTAAACGATCGGTAAACTACGTGGAAAGCACCACTTTGTGCGTTCGACAGCATGGTGCGACCCAACCGTAGGTTTGATTTACAGACATAATATTTTCTCGAAATACGGACAGAAAGATAATTGTAATAATGAACCAGCTCTGTTTTCTCTTTATCCTAAGGTTGCAATTCTTTAGAGGGGCAGGAGTACTCTTATGATCCATTTATTATTATGCCTTTAGTAGATCCTCCACAGTAATTGCAAGAATTGTTCAGCAGCATCTTAGCCGTCCGACTCTTCCCTTTTTTGTCAACGGGTGGGATGCAATCTTTTTTCCAATTAAATTTTTTTTTCCAGCAACCAAAAATTAATACAACGGCTGTGATGCAGCTGCACCTAAAAAACTACGAGCCATTTTCTAGATGAACTCTGACCGGCGACAAGTTGAAGCCAAAATGAACTTCCCTTCTTGGCCCATTTTCTAGTAAATAAAAAATTAAAAAGAAAATATTGCACTAAGTCTGAGTCTGAGTCGGATAGAAGGTGATGAAACGCGAAAGTTCGGAGAAGCAAACACTCTTCAAAACTTCCACGTTTATGGGACTCGTCTATAGTTATAATTAATAATTTTGAGTGAAAGAATGTGTCGCACTACCAATAATAAGATTTACATCTTATTCTTCTACCCTAAACAGTCAGAAAGAATTTTTGGCAAATTTACATACCTACCAAACAATTCTTCTGAATTTACATATCTAAATGTAAAGTTTGATATTCACATTCGTAACGCCTTGGCCTTTATGTGATATTCAAGTTGAGTGCTATAAATGAGAATATTAAAGTATAGGTGTTAGATGTGTAAATACATAAGCATTGTGTGGTATGTATGTAAAATGCACCCAAAATTTTAATGCAGTGCTAGAAAAACATTTCAAAAGAGCCAAAATCCAAATTGGTATTCTACTTCAATCCAGGTAGCATGTTATGGATGGTCTCTCAGGTGTGAAACTAGAAGATATGCTATGACAATTGGGACCAAAATTTGGCTCTTAACCTTGAATACATTTTGGGGAATGTACATATATACCACCAAGGTTTTAAAAATCAGACCGGATATCAAATCGGAAGAAGAAAAGTTATAAAGTCCATTTGTTCAACCGGGTTTGAACCGGGGTTGAACCCGTGGGTTGAACCGGAAGACATAATAAATATAAATATTACTTAAATATAATCTAAATAATATAATAATGACAAATATGAAAAAAAAATAAACTAATAACAACTAATAATTTAAAAACTGTCATAATTTAACCTGTGTGTTCATTTGGCAATTGTGAATTTTAAAAATAAGGTGCAAAGTTATAAGTATAGCACTAATGACTATAAAGTCATTACTCATATTAAAGAAAAATCTTAGACAAACTGTATAATGCAAATAAAACATAAATATTGAACTTTAGAGTTGCGCACACATTCCATCAAATTAAACTTATTTGACATTGAAAAAAAAAAAAAGAAATGACAACTAGAATATAAATAAAAATAAAAATAATTTAGTTTAAAGATGACATTCAAAAATCATATTCATGAAAGGTTTCCACAAAATATGTTTTCACAAAATTTGTATGTCGACTAACTCCTTTTCCTAAAGCTTCCAAATCATCATATTCAATACTTTCAATTGTAGCATCATTGAAATCTTCACATATACACTTATTTATCTTTTATATAGATGTGCAGTATAAGCAAATAAATAATGTAAACTTTCAAATTAAAAAAAAAAAAAAACTTATATGTGTTTGCATATCGAATGCTATGTTGGGATCTTCACTATATGGAATATAAATTTCACTTTCTAAATCATCATTATCAAATTCAGGAGAAGTTTTTTAACCAACAACTCAAAAATTTATTATCTCAATACTCGTGTAATCCAAATGATCATAATTTCTTTTTTTATATGCAATCTAAAATATAAATACAATAAATTTTCAACCGCGTTAACAATTAACATGCATTGAATAAAAATATAATATACTCTTCTGCAAAAATAGAAAAAACATATTACAACTCCTTAAGTTGAGGTTGTATCCAACATAAACGAGATCATTCAATCTTTAATGCTTTAGAAGATTTTCACTTTGTATGAATTTGTTCAAAAATACTCCAACTTCTTGCACATCCAGAGGAAACAGTTTGAATAAAAATCTTTATAGCTAATATTTGTTGATATGGAGCACTTAAGCAAAACATTTTTCATTAGTCATCCAGACAAAAAAGAAAAAAAATAATAAAAAAGATACGATTCAAATGCATGTAAAAATGAAATATTAATAAAATATAACATATGAACTTATCGAGTTACATTTCCTTTGACATTTTCAGAGCTAATGACTTTGCAAAGTTTGTTAAATTATCATGAAAAAGTTTGATCTCATTCATCGCAGGTTTTGGGCATATATCTTTGTTTCCAACAATCTTAATCAAACATTGCATAAGCTCATGCTTGTTACAATAATTCTCTTTTTCATAGTGAAAATGAGGATTCAAGAAATAGTTGTTGCATAATGTCTTATCGAAGTTTATTATTGATCCTGACTTACTACTTATATGCAACAGTATAACAATATTTCTGATTAAATTTTTACTTATATTTCTTTACTTTGCAACATAGTCAAAACTTGATCCTGAAGTAAATAGGAATTTAACTCTTTAATTTATATATTGAGATATTACGCAAGTATACGTATCGTTATCAAGTAATATATGACTTTTTGATTAAGACCTGAATATCGAACCCACAGAGAAATACGCAATATGCTCTATTGAACGACAAATTATCTATTTTAAAAAGATAATTACTTAAACTAGAGATGTATTCGCAGTAGTTAAAATTCAAATATTTTTTGTATTTTTGATATTTTGACAAAACATAAACAATTTAAAAAGATAATTTGAGTTTATGTAAAAGAAAAATACTGAATTTAAAAATATCATTCTCCTTATCATGAATCAGTAATAAGCATAAGAACTCTGTTGTGGTAGTATGCAAATTGTGTTGTGCCAAATAGGAGCAATTATATTCTTTACACATACTAGAGATGTTATAAAGAACATTGACTAATTTAAAGTATGAATAGTTCTGAAGACCGGCTAGGCAGAGAAACCACCATCTCTCACTCTAGAGTTCCATAAATTCCCTTCACCTGGGGGCTAACATCTCGTATCAGAACTTAAAACAATAAACCAAGTTGGGGGCTTTAACCTGTCACTTTAAAGTCCTCTAACTCTACACCCTTCAAAGATTATTTCCATATTTATTT